TGTTTACGGCAAATCTTGTGTGGCCGGTGAAAGCTGAAACGAAACTACGCTGGACTTCTACACGACATCCCATCGCAAATAATTCCCGGGACAGGGAATACGGAATCCCCTTCACAAAACTATCTCCCCGACGGACGTCATAGCGCTTGCGTGAGGGCTGTTGAGTGTTTCCTGTCTTGTTCGAGACACGAAGGGAGGTGAGCCAGCCTACCCTCCTTTCCCGGGAAACGTGGCGGATGTGGAACAGCTACATCCGACCATCGTTCCTAAAACGCAGTTGACGGACATGACTTGTTCTCGAGAACAGTCGTGGAGAGAACGAGAGCAAGAACAAGAATACTCAATCAATCCCGCCGAAGATGAATCTTTAGCATCGATTCATTATCGAAAAATGGAGCAAGCAGAGAAGAGGAACAGATCGCGTAAAGAAAGCATTAGAGGAAGAGAGACATACGTAGGTGTTGAGCTGACGGACGAAGCTGGAGAAGTTGTTGTGCTTGAAGTGGAGGGGAAGCAGGTCTCGGGCGAACTCCGCCGGCTTCCACACCACGAACGACTCCCCCTTCTTCCCCCACGATATCATTTCGTCCGTCCCGCTCTCCTCCACCATCTCGTACGTCTTCACCAAGAACGGCGGCGGCCCGCCTCCTCCACCTCCTCCTCTCCTCCTGTATCCCATCCCTCTCTCTGATATGATCACAAGGGTATCAAAAGAACAAGAATAGCAGTCAAGAATCCTCAGACCCTGCGATAGAAGCCACCGATCACAACAACACAGTGATGGCAGTAGCCTGCTTCGACGCATCTACCTCTCTCTGTTGATCTCCCCTCGCGTATCTCTTCGTCCATTTCTAACTCCTCCAAACCATGATCACATCCAGAGAAGCAAAAGCCGCAAGCAGATCCCAAGCGAGAGCTTCTCCACGCGCTTTAAAGGAGTTTGACGGAAGAGGAGGAGGAGGAGGAGGTGGAGTGCGAAATGGAATCGAGAGCGATGAGGACAGACGATCGCTTTCCGCTTTGGCCTACTTTTTCCAATCTCCTCTATGAGTAGCGTTGTCGGGTGAGGGTAGAAGAACTCGATCAGCGTGGAAGCTTTGCCACGGGGCGAGCCCTTTCAGATCTGCGATACGTGGAAGCCATCCTCGTCGTTGCTGCGAGAGGGCCATTTCCCATTTCCCATTTCGTTCTCATATGACCCAACCCAACCCAACTCCCTCTCGTGTTCTCACGAGGCGCATCCATGCACACCTTTACATGTTCAAGTATGGCAAGAATATTTCATATACTGTTGTAATATGGTATATTAAGGCACACATCTTTTTCGATATGAACGACTCATCATTCTGTTTGCAATATTACACCTTTATTATATCTAGAATTGGCCTCATAAATGAGACATTTTAGTTGTCATATCTACTCTTGAGCTAACCTGCTTCTCTCTCTCTCTGTCTCTCTGTCTCTCTGTCTCTGTGGTAGGTGATCTTGCCGACCTCTTGTGTGTATTAAGATAACCTTATTTTTTCGTCTTGCTATGGGTTAATGTCTTTCCAATAAAGACTAAAAGAAAGGAGGGACAAAAAGTCGAAGTAGATCAGTGAAGAAAGGGGAAAGTAGCATTTGGGATATGGTCAAACTCGTGGTGGATTAGCTAATGTAATGCATACAGGAGGAAGCTTCCACTTATTGGAATCTCGACGCGGGGTCAACTCAAATGATTGACCCAACGCATGCTCAATTCTTTGCTTTCTTCCTAAGTATGTCAAGTCATTAGTTCAACCCTTCGGTGCATGGAGCCTTTCATCAGTACGAACTGACCCAAACTTCTGGTTGCTACATCACTTCTTTACTGTATCCCCTGATGAGATACTAATTACCACAAGATGGGTAATGGCCAAAGCTTTAGAAGGGATGTGAGATGGGAACGGGGCATAATAATGCCATCGATCCATCTACTTCCTGCTTGACCTTTCTTTCCCATTCTATTTTTATTCCCTTTCCAATTTCTTTTTTCCTTCTCCTAAATTTCTCTTTCTACAGTGAAACTTGAATAGATAATTCAGATTTCAATCACCGATCCGATGTTGATTTCCGATCGATTTAGGTGATGATGTTAAAAAAACAAAAAGTCAAAAGAAGAGACCAATACAAGTAGTGGAATTGTCTGATAGCATGTAATCACGCGGAACGCATAGACTTGACCAAAGCTGAGGCAATGGATGGCTTAATGTGTCTACACAACACTAACATTCAGAACTTGAGCAACTCACCCACTTGAAGTGAACATTACTTTGTTCACCTGCTCATCTTTGTGTCTCCCAGACAGAGAGAGAGACGGGTCAACCTTATCAAAATGATTCAACCTACTTGGACCTCATAAAATTATTAATTTGAGGTGGCATTTGTATCAAATAAAATATATTAACTATAAGTATGTTAAGATGACATATTTATAAGTTGGATGACTTCAGACCCCCCTCACATCACAACCAATTCAATAGCAAATCGCTCAGAAGGATCAATAAACAAATATTTGATGCAAGCCTTCAACTTTACACTTGTATAATGCTCTGATGCATCATGTTCATGTGGGAACTAGCAGCAGTTAAAAAGACTGATAAGCAGACATACCTGAGCAAGAAAGGAGGAGGAGGAGATCCAGCAAGACAGGCAAACATGCCATTCCACACAGCAATCAGCATGGCAAGCTGTATTGTTTCATGGAAAATTAGTTCATCATTAATCATGCTAGAATATGATGACACAAACATTGTTGAGATAACACATAAGCCAAAGACCTGGTCTATTTATCAGATACTAGAACTGAGGAGGTCAGGGTCATCTTCAGAGGGCAAATGCTACACAGATATATCACAACAAACAATTTCTTTCCTCGATATCAAGTATTGAGTTGCATGTTCTACTGTCATGCTTTGAGCAGCCCTATTTGGAAGAAGAGGGAAACAGGATAAAAAAGGGGTTAATAGGCAATCTACCAGTGTCTTGTAAGGGTTAATAGGCAATCTGTGTATATTAGCTATCACTTCAAACTTTTACTTTGCCCTTGTTATTTCTTTTCCAGCAAAAGGAACTCCCTGTCCCCTCCTCCCTCTCTCTTTATCTTTCCTTATGTATAACAAAAAAAAAGATCAATCTAGTTGCATATTTCCAAGCCTTATCTGAAAGGAGAGAGAAAAAAAGTGTGTTTACAGCAGAGGAAACACAGTGTAGGTGATAAAGATTGTTAGACAATTAGACATTACCTTTCCATTGATAAAATCAGACTCACTTATGGTAATCCAACATGCTCTTGGAAATTAAGAGTAGCACATCATGCCTGAAAGACTGGATCTTACACCCTATAGAAGCCAACCTGGCTGCACAAATTTATTATGATAACTGTTAATGTCTCCAAACTGTTAATGTCTCCAAACCTTGCCAAAGATTGAACACAAGAGTTTCCAGCATAGAACCAAAAAAAAAACATTTATTATGATAATATATAACATCCTCAGAC